TTTTATCTGCTGATCTCGGTATCGAGATACTTACCTTAAGGGAATTTCTATGAGAGATGGGATTGATCAATGGATCAAAATAAAATGCAGGTAAATCAGGATCTTCGGTTTTTATATAAACGACATTTGGCGCGTGATACCTGCAAATATTATTATATGAGAATTCCATTAGGAGACAAACTGAATTTTGAGGAATTTTGACTGAACGATGAAATGAAATAGGTGAAACTGTAGGTGATTTCAGCAATTGCCTTTTATACTTTACAAAGGATACGAATAACGATCACCACTGTGATTCTCTACCACACTGCTAGTGAGACTTTGACGTACTAAGCACACAGACGAGTCTCAAAACTTGCGTGGAAATATATTTATTACGCATATTTATATCGAACGATATATTGTCACTTACCACGATAAATGTACAAAATGTGGCATGTTATTGTACAAATAAGGAAACGCAATGCGGTATTCCGTCCTTATCGGCTGCCTAATGATAATTTTATTAATATCATTAAACTCGTTCCAATCTTCATCGGCTGCATTCGAATCCTTCACCAATGGTTCGAACTTCGGACCACCCGGTATAGCCATGTTCAACGCCTTTGCAGTGAAAAACGACTTTGGGTCAAACAGATAAAAAAAGTTTTGATCGACTAAATCCGTCAATAATTGATTGGCTAGACGATATAAAGTCGCCATCTGCGGTAATGTCAAATTCCACCTTCGATAAGTGGATCCATTCACGTGCCTGCAATATCATTGACTGTTATATAAACGCAGTTTTAACAAATAATATTTAATTATATTGTACAACGTGCGTCACAAAGTGACGATTCAGTTTAGCGTTTTGTCCAGCTAGTAGCAATTCGTGGTCTCATCTCGGATAAGACCATCGAATTACAGTAGCCGTCGACTCGCATGTTAGTCGATCTCAGGACCCCTACGCGATTCATCATGAAACAACGCGATATTCTATCCTACGTGCTTACATATTATATAAACACGATCGATATAAATGCAAACAACAACTCGTCGATACTTGACGCTTACTTTGTACCGACGAGTGGTTTATGTTCGTAAAACCACGATGCCACAGATTTATCTTCTTCCGAATCCAATTCAATTTGAATAGCTTCCAATGGTTCTACATCCAGAACATTGTCCGCGTAATCTAACGGAGGTTCTTCGTCGTCGAATGGTGGAAATCTCATTCTTTTGAAATGTCTACGATCCCTTTTTTCTCTTCGCATCATAATCCACATCGTACTAGATCATAAAAATAGATAAAGAGAAATAAGCACGCGTTGTTTGTTACTAAATAGCAGACAAATTTAAATAGACGGAATATTTTCCTTAGCTTACCCCCATTGTGCGATATATACGGGTTCGATGACCCAAGGAATTTCGTTTACAAACGTAATTGCACCTGTTATATGATACAGCACCTTCACATCTCGTATTTGTTCCCAAGGCATAGGCATGTTTTCTAAAAGTTTCATGACTGCGTGAGGCATATATTTCAACGCTCTGAAACAAAATTAGTAAAATAAAGAAATTGCCTTCACTTTCGTTTTGTTATATCAACGAATATCAACAGTGTGAAAAACGCATCCAATTTTTAATATATACGCGTGAGTAGTACTTGCCCTAAATAAACACGTTTGTCGTGTCTATATTTACGACTGCTCATATCACCATGATCTCTAATAATTTTTCTTATATGTTCCGGAGGCATATGTTCTTTCTGAGCATCCACGAAACCAAACTTTCTTTTCTCTGCAAATCTTTTCGATTGAAGTTGTTGCCATTTTTGAGCTAGAATTATACAAACAGCGTCGATGTTTGTAACAGCATGAGTTTCAATTTTAACTTTATATGAATATTACGTATCAAAAACAATATTTTACAGTTTTCTCAAAAACTTTAAAAATATCAATTTTTACTCACCCTTTTCTTGAAGTTTATCCTCCGATAAAACTTCAGGTTGCTTGGGAATTTGTGGCAGTGGAGGTCCTGCTATTGCTTGCATGTGAGCATGATGTGCAGCTTGTGCATGCGCCGCTGCTTGAGCATGAGCCTGAGCTGCAGCTAACTGTGCATGAGCCTGTTGTTGAGCCATCATAGTCGCCCACGGGTTGGGCCCCAGTAAATACGGCGGAATCGACATTTTCTCTTAAATGAACGACTGGAACAAAATAAAAGGTAAAGTTATTACGAAGAATTTATCTTGGTGTCAGATGTCAGATATTTTAGTAAAATGTTTGCATCCAACATGAAATGTAAAGTGCAAAATAGCAAGTGTTTTTAATAAAAATTACTTCTTATACGCATATATATGTAAAACGATAAACGAAGCATATTCGTACAATGAATTTGTTCTAAATTAACTTAAATTCAAACAAGAAACGAATTCAGATTTCAAAGAAAAAAACGAATAAAAAACAAATATAAAACCGAACCAATTCGATACGACAACGTACATAAGTATATTATACACATATTATATTATTACGTCAAGTAGCAAAACATGTGATACCAATGACACTGTGAATTTAGTTTGAATAATATTTTATCTTCTATTCAAATGAAATATTGATTTTTGTTAAATAAACTTACGTTGATTACACCGACAGTGTGAGCCAAGCACTCGGCACGAGCATAAATCAAACTAAATTACATAGATGTTCCACTCTGTAGGTATCAGCGGTGAAAACGTGACAACACAGTTTTAGGAACTATCGACATTCATGGCTGCAACTTTTTCATAAGCAGCGTGTAAAAATATGACAAAAATTAAAAAGTTTTGCCTAATTTTCACTTTTAGGAGATCAAAAGTTATTGGATTTCTTTTTATCGTCTGGTAGTTTTCGTCTAGTTACATCCAAGTTTTGTAAGTTGAAAAATCCACTGGTTTAAATCTGCTATTTTAGTATCACTTCTTGCGTTACCTGTGACGTTACCTCTCTACGATATTACACCTAATGACGAAATTTAAATCAGCCATCGGCACGAGACGTTAAAACTATTGAAAATATTTTATAAATAGGATATTAAAGATATTTAGAGTTTTAACTTTTGAATCGTTAAAAGCCCACTCGTAAACGTTGTTTTTGTTTAAAAGAACCAATCAGACTATGCTTGTGTAAAAATTTGTACGGTGTCGTACTAACCTCAAAAATACACCAAAAAATGCTTTTGCGTAGATTTCTGAACTTGAGACTCGTATTCTTGGAGTGAAATCAGTTGGAAAATATCAGACGATAAAAAAAGGACGCTAATCTTTGATCTCCTACAGTAAAGTTTAATCAAAACTTTACATAAATATGAAACAAACGCTATATATGTATATACGTTATACACACGGGCACGTTGCACTGCACTGTGTGTTTCATTGTTGGTATCGTTATTTTTTATCATTATTATTTATCGTGAAAACATACGCTGCTGCAAACAAATGTATCATAAAACTACAGAAAGCCATCGATACGTTTAGATTATATTTACATCTAGATTGAATACTTCCAAACTTACATCGATAGTTTCTATCGACTGTTCTATCGTCGCCAGATTTATATTCAGCTTGTCAGTTTTGCCAATAGTCGTGCCATTGCGCTCGTGCAGAATTTTGTTTACATTTACAGATGGCGTATTTATTATTTTATTTGTACATTTAGGAATATATAGTCAGGATATTGAAAAATCTAATAGAATTAAAAGAAAAAAAGGAAATTTTATTTTTATTGAATTGAACAAAAATTTTTTATTTTAACTTGATACTTTCTCTCTTAATGATAAATTTCTAATAGTAAAATTTTAGGACCGATTTATATTAGATTATCATTATTGAGAGTTTAATAAAACCAACTGACTTTATAAATATTATTATTAAGAGCTTGACAGAGCCAACTGACTCTCATATTTATCAAATCTATGTGTTATTTTGGAAAATAGAACGAAACCTGCTTGAAGTTTGTACGTATCTGTTGCATACTTCATGGTAGATGAAGTGGCGTTGGCATTCACGTTGGGGCATAGTTTGATGCCAGAGTGCTTCGATCGGTTCGTGTTTCTTTTTTCGAAATTTCCCGTATTTCTTTCTGATTGTTTTGTCACAGGAACAACAATTAAGAAGGGAAAAAGAACAAAATCTTCGCATTCAGAGCATTTAATAGATTACATAGATGTTTAACGATTAACGTTTACGAATAGCTTAATCTGTCCATTAGAAAATCAGCGTGGGACACGCGAATAAAGAGAAGTAAAATACACGGTCGCATGGACGCAGACACGTAGATACCTACGCTATTCGAACGCGTTACGATCAATTAAAATTATTGACAGGAAAAATATTTAAATGTGATTACGCCGTGAGAAGAATGGCTGGAGTATTTGATATAGAGTTACACGACGGAGACTCCATAAATCAAGACGAATCGGACGATGATATTGTCGAAAATAGAGAAGTTCGTTCCTTGTTAAATTTCAGTGATTGTAGTTGATTGCCATGTCATATCTGTTATGTACGTTTCTTTTTTTTTTTCAGGATGAATACAATCATACTACAAATGTAAATACGTCGTTAGAGTAAGTGATCAAACCTTACTTATCGTGTTTTCTAAATAAATGCACAATTATGGCTCTTGTTTATCTTCTTTTCGTCTTCGTTTCGTCCATTTTCCTCCTTGCGAGAAAGGAAAATAGAAATATTACGTATTTTACAGATCTGATAATTTGGAAAGAGTACAGTTGTCGGAACAGAATGTGAACGAAGGCAGGGAGAAGACTGGTCCGCAAGATTTTGAACTGTGCAAAATTCTCGGAGAAGGTGGATACGGGAAAGTCTTTCAAGTAAAAAAAGTAACTGGAAAGGACAAAGGCAGTATTTTTGCTATGAAGGTAAATCTACTTCAACGTTTATGCGTGCATGCAAAAAATCTTTATAGTTCTTTGTTTCCATAGGTACTGAGGAAAGCATCTATCATACGAAATCAAAAGGACACGGCTCATACAAAAGCAGAAAGAAATATTTTGGAAGCAGTGAAAGTACGTAGATTTCTCTCCTCTACAATTCTAGTATGACATGTATTTGCATCGTTCGTTTTTCAGCATCCGTTTATTGTAAATTTAATGTACGCGTTTCAAACTGGTGGTAAATTATATTTAATTCTGGAATATCTTTGCGGAGGAGAACTTTTCACGTACCTAGACAGAGAAGGCATTTTCCTAGAAGACACAGCTTGGTAAATTAATTAGTTTTTGAAATAATTTTGGGTGATGTCAATGTATACGTGTTCTATTTGTGTATAAAAAAAACTTTATACGTATATTAATAATGATAACAATATATACTAATGTATATATAACGTGTTATTATATTTTTATATTTTATATTTATAGTTTTTATTTGTCCGAGATTATACTCGCGTTGCAACATCTCCATAATCAGGGTATTATATACAGGTATTTAATCATTATATATACATCTAACAATTTATTGTAGATGTATAATCTAACCGAATCAATTGCGTTTATAGAGATTTAAAGCCAGAAAATATCTTGTTAGACGGCGAAGGCCATGTTAAATTAACAGATTTTGGTCTTTGTAAAGAACACATAGAAGAGGGCGCAGTAACGCATACATTTTGTGGAACTATAGAATATATGTAAGTAAACGTACGTTTTTTTGTTACGCTGACAACTCGTCGTTGAAGTAATTAAATTGTTGATTATAAACGTAATTAATGAAGAATGTATATATTACAATTACTATTGTTGTTGATACGATCAGGGCACCAGAAATTTTAACAAGAAGCGGACATGGAAAAGCAGTTGATTGGTGGAGTTTAGGTGCTTTGATGTTTGATATGCTCACTGGAATGGTAACGCAAATTAAATAACAAATAACAAAGTATAGTTGAAATATAGATATTGAATCTTGAGTTACGTTAATTGTATGAACTTTAATTCGTACAGCCACCGTTTACCGGAGATGACAGAAGAAAAACAATCGAGAAAATTTTACGCGGAAAGCTAAGTTTACCACTGTATCTAACATCGGATGCGAAAGATTTGATACGAAAGTTATTGAAGGTATCTTGTCAACTTTCTGTTTGCAAGATAATGATTATTCTAGTTTGTGTACTGTGTGCGTACGAATGTATGGATTAACAAGGATTTTCTATTCGACCAATTGCAGAGACAAGTATTGCAAAGACTAGGATCAGGGCCCGAAGATGCTGAACAAATTATGAATCATAATTTCTTCAAACATATTAATTGGCAGGATGTAATTTCGCGAAAATTGGAACCTCCTTTCAAACCGTCGTTGGTAAGTACGGTTGGTAAGTGTTAATTGAAGTTGAACATCCGTTGCGACAACGAATATAATGGTACAAAATGTTTGCAGAAAAGCGCCGACGATACGTCGCAGTTCGATGAACAATTCACTGCGACTGTACCAGTCGATTCACCGGTAGAAAGTACTTTGAGTGAATCCGCTAATATGATTTTTCAAGTAGGTTTCGTATAGTCGAAATATATCGAAATATCGCAAGTATATCTCGTATTCCAAGTAAAAGTAACGAAATTGTACGTATGTTCTACGAAATATCAACATTTGCAGGGCTTTACGTACGTAGCACCCAGTGTCTTGGAGGAAATGTGTGCACAACCGAGAGTTGTAAATGCCAGAAGCCCGCATAAAGGTCTGTTAAATACAGGATTTAGTGGAAATCTTCGCAGTTTGTCGTCGAGATCACCGGATGCCCATCTTCGTACGGCATCTCATTTTCATCAACATAGGTATTTTCAAACTTGATATTCCACGATCTCAAGAGACCAAAGTATCTTATACGTAAACTCTCAACGGTAGTTACTATCCATTTGAAACATTGTATTTCTGTACTTGAAAAGTTACTTTTTAATTTCTAGGCATCACGTTGTAGGTTCGAATAATATGGAAGATACCGAAATGGCGGATATAGGTCCGCTTTTTAATTTTTAAGCATTGCATAATAAAATTCGAACGATATGGAAGATGTTAAATTAATAACGGATCGCTTATATAATGAGAATACAGATATAAACAATCCAAGTAAACGTTGAGTAATCTTCCATCTTAGGTTTAATAAATCGTTTATAAAATTACGTCCCACGTTATTTGTTTTTTCGCTCTAGCGGTTCGATCATTTACGTTTGATAATCAAATTTAGCGCAATTTGTTTACGTATAAATATGTCTAATAAAGATTTAAACGATTCTAAAAGCGTCGAAAGAGGTTACGCTTTTACCGGGGTGATGGGGGCTGGGGTTGGGGGGAAGGAGAGGCGGGCAGTGGTGCTACTCGCGTAAAAATCGTACGTAGGCCAGCAATTGCTCCGATGTGACTGATAATTGTTTACCGTGTAAAGAAGTAATATTGTAATGTGTACTTTCGTTATGTAAATATGTCCAGTTTCCCGATGATAAGTACATTTTGTTTAAACAAGCTGCTGCATCGTTGAAAAATCCGAAAGACATTTTCGATGACATATCGTACT